TTGTCTTGGATCCCAAGCAGGGTTGGGCCCAGAATCCTTTTTGGTGGAAGACTTCTAAGAAGTGTTAGGAAGGTTGGGGAGCAGAGAAGAAATCCGCAAAGGAGACATGGAGATTGCGAAGTAGCAGCTGAACCTGACTGGGAGGGAGACTCAGAATAGCCAGATGCGTAAGGAAGGGGTCAGGAGGCCTAAGGCCCAGAATGAGCTGAGGCTCGCAATGTGCACCAAAAATAGTTTTAAAGGGTTCTTTGGGTATGTGCTGAATAAGAGAAAAGTCCTTGGTAGGAAAAAAGATGGTGAGATGGTGAAAGAGACAACTGGGAGAAGGCTGAACCGTTTACTTCCATCTGTCGTTTCGCAAAAGGAAAATGTGGTTGAACCACTCAGAAGCTGCACCATGGGGCAGAAGAGAAATGCAGGTCCAAACAGGCAAGGAAGTGCGAGAGAACACCCAGCTACCCTGGATGAATCCTGGTCGCTGGATGACATCCCAGGGTACCCCTAAAGGAACTGGCGGGTATCAAGGGGTACTGACTGTAATCTTGAAGAACTGCTAGAATATGGGGGAAGAACCAGAAAAATGGAGAAGAGCCAATGTTGTTCCAATCTGTGAAAAAGAAGAAAGTGGACCCAGGAAATCAGCTTGACATCCATACCTGGGAAGGTCCTAGAACAGAGGACAAGCACTAGGTTTGCAAGCACTTAGAAAGGAACAAGGCGATTGCTAAAAGACAGTGTGGTTTTATTAAAAACAGGTCATGCCAGACTATTTTTTTAATAAAATAACTAGATTAGTAAACCAAGGGAATGCTGTGGATGTAGACTTCAGTAAGGCATAGCAGGAGACTTCTAGTGATGAAATGGTGAACTGACATCCCATGATGAGTGGGAGACATTATGGCCAGAAACAGTGGCTGGATCCTGGAACTGGATCGGCAAAGTCTCTCCAGAGGAAGGAAAGATCTTGAGAACACCCTTACATATTCTGGACAGCTGTTTTTCTGTGAGTAGATGGCAGGAACCGAGGTTTTTGTAGTCGGCTTGCAAACAGCTGGGAGTAGCAGGATTCCACTGAGCTCATAGCCATCAATGTACCCTTTACAAATGCAAGGTTTGACCAAACCTCACTTCTTAATCACTTTGGATTTTACTTTTTTTTAACTGCTTTTTAAAGATTGAGAACCTTCAGGACTGCAAGCTTTATCGTATTCACTGAATTTTTCTTCAATACTTTAAGAAAGAAGTTTTAATTATGAGTTTAAGGTTTTGTAAAATAAATTTTTTTGGAACATACAGCAAAAGGTTGATTAGAGTGTTGATTTTAGAAAGTTTTGAACAGATTAAGGGTCCAGATAGACTTGAATTAAGACTTAGAAATTAATTATAAGAATCCTTCCCGTGGGAAATTTTCTGTTTACATCTTAAAAAAAAACCTGATAAGATTATTTTGAAGGTTGGTCACTAGAGGGCACCAAAAGGAAATGAATGCATCAGTGGATCCATTGAGAGAGATCTATGACTTTTGGGTTCAAAAAATAATTTTAAAGTTATCTGCTATTATATATCAATTAGATGGTATCAAGGAAGAGGAACAAGTTCCATCAAATAAAGCTGAAATTTATTTAAATGTGGATTTTAAAACGACAGCCTATAAGAGAGAGATGGAAAAAGATGAAATAGTGGATACACAAAAAGATGAATTGTTGGATATACAAATGAAACCGGCTGATGTTTTAACAATTAAAAAAGACACATACTAAACCAGAAGAGTGATATGGATAATCTTTTTATATTGGATTTACAAAAGGGGCTTGTTAAAGTTGTCAACGTTTTCTGTGAGAAGAGACAGCATGAAAACAAAACAGTCACTTGGACATTTTCTGAGGAGAATAAAGATTGTTGTGAGAAAGGGGAAAGAATATAAAGTTGGTTTATTTGATCAAGGTTAAAATAGATGGGTTGTTGTTTCTATTAATGTTTAATGGATTTATGCTGACTAGGACCAGATTACGATGTTTTAAAGGGTTTGTTTATTTAAAGAAATGAGATGAGGGGATTTGTTTAAACAGAAAATGAGATATAAATGTAAAAGGAACTATTCAAAGTGGGTTTATTAGATAGAGTTTGTAATACTTAGGTTATTTCTGATAACCTGTAATGGAATTTTGTTGATTAAGATGGAGTGATGAGGCTTTAAAGATTTGTTTATAGAAAATGGAGTGGAATATGGGATGAAGAGATGGTTGGTTGAATTTTAAGAGATGGTGATAAGTTGTTAGTGTTAACTATACTTGCTGGGGATGAAGCGGGAAGTTTCTTTTTCTTTACTTTTTTCTGCACTTTTTATTTTTCCAAATGTTTATATATTTTTATCTTTTGGTAGCTTGTATTAGTTTTATCTGTATAATGTAATCCTTAATAAAAATTATTATTTTTATTTATAAAAAAGGAAAAGAAAAGATAAAGTTGACCATAGCTTCTCATAGATAACATGGAACAATGTGGGATGGACAGTCCCACTACCAGATGGATTCCTAGTTGGTTGAAAACCATACCCAACACATGGTCCTTAATGGATCTTCCTCTGCATGGAAAAAGACACCTGTTCTGTGTCCAGTGCTCTTCAACATTTTCATAAATGACTTAAATAATGGGATAGAAGAGATGCTCATCAAACCTGCAGACAAAAAAAAGGTGGGGAAGGGATTGCTAACAAGTCAGAAGACAGGCTCAGGGTTCAAAAGGTTCTTGAATATTGGGCCTTATCCAACAATATGCAGTTCAGTGGTGAGAAATTTAAAGTTGATTCTGCACTTAGGCAGGAAAAACGAGATGCACAGGGACCAGACAGTACTTGGCTCATCAGTAGTACATGTAGTCCTCGCTTAGCACCACAACTGGGACCAGCAGCTTGGTTGTTAAGCAAAGCGGTTGCTAAGTGAAATCACAACTGTGCTTATGATCTGACTTCAGCTTTCCTTCGCTTTACAGACCTGTGAAGGTCAT